GTGCAGAACCCCGACCTGCACAACGCGGAGCTCAGCAAGATGCTCGGTGAGGAGCGCGGTGGGCGCGGGTTTGGGGGGGCGAGGAGCGGGGGGAGGTCGGGGACCCACCCGGGCATCCCCTGGGGTGCAAACCCTGCCCGGATCCGGTGCCCCGGGGTGAGCAGCCGGGCACCCAGCCGCCCATCCAGCTGCAAATCCTGTCGGGATTCAGTGCCCAGGGGCACCCACCGGGGATCCCTGCGGGTGCAAACCTTGTCCGGATTCGGTGCCCATGAGTCCGCCAGAGCATTCCTGGGAGCGCAAATCCTGCCCGGATCCAGTGGCCCGGGGGAGGCAGCACGCACCCACCCGGGCAGGGGATGCACACCCTCGGGTTTGGTTCCCGGGCACCCACCTGCGGTCCCTGGAGTGAAAACCCCGTCCGGATTCGGAGCACCGGGGTGGGGATCCAGGCACCCCCCGGCAATTCCTGGGGTGCAAATCCCGTTCGGATCCAGTGCCCCGGGGTGGGCACCATGCACCCACCCGCTCATCCCGGAGTGCAAATCCCATCCAGATCCAGCTCCTCGGACTGGGAATATCGGTGCCACTGGCCATCCCTGGGGGTGCCAGCCCTGCCCAGGTGGGGACCCGGTCTGGCACGCAGCAGGAGGGCACCCCTACACTTACCTGTCCCGTTTTGGGGGGCAAAGCCAGCCCGGGTGCAGCACCCTGGGGCTGCAAAACCTGATGGAGCTCTGCACCCCGGGAGCAGCACCGTGCAGCCACCCGCAGGGTGCTCACCCCAGCATTGTCCCACACTCCAGGTGTGCAGCCACTCCTCAGGGTGCAAAGCCTGATGGTGTCCTGCATCCCGGGGGACAGACACCCTGCCACCCTCTGCTGCAAACCCTGAGGGTGCTGCCCTGCCCCAAATTTGTGTGGCCTGTCCTTGCTGTCCCACTTTGTCCCAATATTACATTAGCGTGTGTGTATTTTTGTTGTTACTTTTGGGGGATTACAACCCATTTTGAACACACATTTGTTTCCCACTCCCCATCCACCATTTCTCCCTTTCTCCCAATCCCCATTTTGATGTGAAACCAAGAGGGCAAACCAAAATTACCAGCCCAGACAGCCTGAGAAAGAGCTGCCTGAATTGCAACACAGCTTTGCTGCCCAACCTCTTATCCAAAGTTTGTGTTTCCCTGGACAGTTCTGTGGTGTTTTCTTTGGTGGTTTGGGTTTTCTCCTCACTGCTTTGCCATGCAGCATCTCAGCTTATTAGTGTTATTTCTGCTGTCTCAGGCCATGGGAAGGCATCAAAGGCTTTGATCTGTATCCTCATTTCTCCCCCTTACCCTGAGGAGCAGCCTGGGACACCTTCAGTGTGGGATAAAGCCCCCCTTCCCAAAGCTGCTTTTCTGAACTGTGTCTTGGGGCCATTTTATCTCAAACAGGGAGGAGCAAGGTCACAGAATTAAAGAATCATGGAATGGTTTGAGTTGGAAGGGACTTTATCTAATCCATCCCTGTGCCGTGGGCAGGGACACCTTCCACCATCCAGCTGTCACAGTGCCCAGGTCTCCCTGTGCCCTGGTGCAAGTCCTGGCAGGGCACAGGCTGGGGCACCTTAAAGGACACCACGTCCTGACCCTCTGCTCAGCCAGGCATGGCCTCAGCTGTCCCTGCTCCACAGCTGGGCTCTGTCCCAGCCCATGGAGCTGGGAGAGTTCACCTGCCTGCATTTATTTAGTAACCCTAAACCCACCTTGTGTGGGGATTTGGGATGAAGGGAGTCAGAGACCCTACAGCAGCCTCAATTCCTCCCTTCTTCTCCCACCCGCTGCCACCACGTCCCCCTGCAGGCTTTTCAGATGTGTCCTCTGCGTGTGCCCGGTGGGATCTTGGGAGGCTGTGGGTGCTAAGGGAACGTGTCCTCCGTTTCAGGGAAGTCCTGGAAGGCGCTGAGCCTGTCGCAGAAGCGTCCCTACGTGGAGGAGGCCGAGCGGCTGCGGGTGAAGCACATGCAAGATTACCCCAACTACAAGTACCGGCCCCGTCGGAAGAAGCAGGTCAAGCGCATCGGGAAGAGGGTGGATCCCGGCTTTCTGCTGGGCAGCCTGACACGGGACCAGAACTCTGTGCCGGAAAAGCGGACCTGCAGCCGGGCCGGGGGGGACAAAGAGGGCCCGGGTGAGTACCCCCCCCGCCCGGGGCTGCCGGCTGTGCGGGGGTACCGGGAGGCTCCGGGCAGCGGCAGCAGCACCAGCGTGGACACCTACCCCTACGGGCTGCCCACCCCGCCGGAGATGTCCCCCCTGGATGCCATAGACCCCGAGCAGAGCTTCTTCTCCTCGCCCTGTCCCGAGGAGCATCACCGCTCCCACCTCGCCGGTGCCACCTTCTCCCCGGAGTACGCGGGCGGCTCCTTGCCGTGCGGCCACCACCCGCTCAGCCCCAT